TTTTTAGCGTCACGATATGACGACTCCGATTTCTTGACATTCAATAATTCTTGAAGAAAATCTTGAAACTTGTGTGCTCGAGCCTCTAATTATCTCCTGCGGACACTAGCGGCTAAGCCTTTGGTTCCTCCTGCGTCCTCCGCGTCATGATCTAGTGATGTAGCGCGGCGCATTACGCTAGCGAACAGATCTGAGTTGCATCTTGAGTGTTGCTTATTCAATGTTCAAATCGAAACTCTGTATTTGAAAATTGAAACTTTGGAAACTTCAATTGTTGAGAATTGAACTCAGAGTCAACTTTGAGATAGTTTTGATCTCGGAATTTTGACCAGATTACCACCGTTTCAAGGATTTTTGTAATTTGCCATGTCACCGAAACAAACGTATCTGTCGAGCGAAGTATCAGGTTGTAACAAAAACTTATTGCATTCAAGATTTTTGCCGTGCATGATGATGTGAGGGTTGCATCAACTTCTACACAAAGTTTGGAGCTAAAAGTTAGAAAGTTCCATTCACTCGAAAAATCATAAAAAATCGGAAACCCTTCCAGAATAGTCCTACAAAAACCGCTCTGACTTGCAAGTTCTATTGAAGCAGTGCTGAGCTGTTTCTAACCCAGTGAATGTGTACTTTGAACTTTCATAAGTATATACAAGCGTTATTTTTCGAAAATTATCGAACTTAGCTTTTCCTACAAGGGTGCTTGATCCAAAGCCACGTTTCTTGGAAACTTGCGCTTCAAGAAAACTGAGAATTCACCGATGTACTATTAAAGGATTGTTGTACACAGTATGTAGCAACGCTTAGTTGTTTCACTAGTTCGAGACAGTTTGACATTGCTTTAATAAAAGGTTGGAAGTTTCATTTTCTTGAGTAGCCCAGAAAAATACCGTAGTTTCGATGGCGGTCCCAGGATTTCGGACCGGGAGGGGGGGGGCGACAAAATTCTTTTTGAGTGAAGGTGCGTGGCTGGCTAACGGTGAGTGGCCCATAACTCCAGAGAAGAGGGAAGTGGTGCCCTCCGGAAAAAGTGTAGATAATTTTTCAAAATTATTTACAATCATCAAAGCAAGTCACTTGCATATACATCCTATGTAGACGGGAGCAGAACAAAGACATCGAGATGGCTGAAATCGATGGAAGGCACACTGATACCGCAATGATTTGTGAGGCTGCTCTATCCGGATCATGGAGCACAGCAGAAGAAAAATCTCCATACTATATGAGGGTACTCCTGAGTGCCAGGTTCTGGTTTTCCACAGCCAGAAAGCAAGGGATCCGTAAACTAGCGAATGTGGGTGTTTCACAGATTCACTTCAGCATGTTGACTTACTTTATACTTCTCAGCCCTTTGTAAGAAATTCAATGAACATGTTAAAACATCTGCGGCTAGATTAGCTGAGGCTTGGTGATCAAAAGCTAGTGGGATGAAACTAGGGCCGTGAAAGATTGTAATCGAGAGAAGGGAACAGAAGTTCACCGATGATGAGGGCCGCAATCGCGGATGGTGAGTAAGAAAATGAAAAGCACTAGATTATTGACTATTATGTGTACAAAAAACCGTGATCCCAAAACAATCTGCCAAATGCCCCCCATCCCCAAATTGCTGCAAGTTTCCCAATGTTCACATCTCAAGCTCTCGAGGCAACCATTCATGTTAGGTCATTCCGAAAGTATGTGGCTTTTTTTCTAATAAATGCCACTATTCGTGGAACCAACATTTTTAAGAGATCCTAGAAGCATTCGATGCAGCATTTCATCCTCTTTCCGACGGTTCTAATTCCACTGCATAACGTTTAAAGAGCTCTCGAAAAAATTACCAAAATTTGCGACTCATGCTTTTTGCCATGTCAAGTTTGGCTATTTTCCTAAATTTTTGTACCTAATCTCCGAAAAAGTATAAGTGGCTGGTAAATAGAGCAAACACTATAGAACACAGAGTAATTTTTTCTTTTCCTTAGCTTGCTTCTCAGAGTTTTTACAATCAACTTCTCAATGCCATCAAATTCCATATTTAGTCAAGTCAAACCCCACAGAACAACAACCGGCAAGCGACTCGGATGTCATTCGATGCAGCTTTTTCTCCTCTTTCTAGCGGTTGTTTTTGTTTCCGATTCATCAAGTTTTCCGGGATAAAATCATCATAATTCAACTTTTCCAAAGCCAAGGTGTACCCGAAATTTTCGAAGGTTGCTAAGCCGAAGCGGTGAATGCTCGTTTGGTTTGTAAAATTGTTGCCAAACCATAATCCATCTTTGTAAGTTTCAAAATCCGAAGACTTGTTGGCGTTTGATGCACTTATGTCTGAGACGAGCCTGCTAAAACTCGGTGGTTCCATCAAAAAATCTGTACAAAAATTATGACGAGCTCTGAAAAGTAGAAAAAAGTTGTGCTGTTTCCTGTAGGGCTTGCTCCATCCATCCATTACTTGGACTCTTTCTGAGGTTTGTTATAAAATTTTAGAAAAATTGTGAAACTTGGCCATCTCAAAAAGCATAGGTCGCAGATTTTGACTCTTTTCTGGAAGCTCACTGACTGTATTGCAATACTCCATAACCACTAGAAAGAGAATGAAATGCTGCATCAAATGCTTCCAGAACCCCTTATACATCCTTGTTCCAGGAAATGTGGCATACGTTTAAAAAAAGCGACATTACTTTTGAAACGATCTAATAATTAGCTAATTATAGAATATGACGTATTTTTGCCACCTCATCGTAAATGTTAAAGTTGTTGTTGTCAACAGCACTTTGCATAGACTTCATCCTACTCTTACTAAAATCAACGTCTTTTGACTGAAACTCAGAGTACGCTGCAAAAATTCACGGGCGTCAAGTACCGTTTGTTCTTCGGTAGCAACACTTGTTGTGTAAGAGCTGGTCAAATTTACAGATATTCTCATGTATTAGGTTGACATAAAAGTAATGTATACAACTTTTGTCTTTTTCATCGTAATTAAATTCATTCCTTGACATTATAAAGATTTCAAAGTGACCACAGGTGCAGCCACTTTCGCCGAATTTTGATCGCTTCTAAGGGTTTCGGATTGAGAACCTAGCATGGAAGCTGTGGTCCAGCTGGTTGAGCTCCGACAACACACAAACTCCTTACGTTAGATTTCTTTAGTCCAGGCTCTTGAGCTTGATCTCAACACAATTACGGAAATATGTGCCTGCCCATCTTTTGAATACTAGAATGTTTTTGTCAATGGAGAATGTGCGATTGAAAGCTTAGAGGTCACTCGTTGTACACAAATGTCTCCGATGAAGATGCTAAGGAAGCCGTCTATGACTACATTCGGAACATCAACCTGCTCTCAACATGTATGGATTCAGTGTTAGACAAATCATGACGCTTTCAAAAATGCCTAAATTGCAGCATATGCCGTTGATCAGGAAGGTATTACAAGCAAGTACGTGACCTAGCGATAGGGCAAAGATTGGCTCCTGTTGTCGCAATCGCCTTCATGCCAAAGATCGAAAAACCCGTACTTGCTTTGAGCCCTTGCTCTTTTATGGACACATTGACGACTGCTGCATCATATGTCCAACTCAAATGAAATAGACATATGCTTTGACATTCTGAATAGTCACCCCTAACATAAGATTCACGCGAGATACCCGACGAAAATTGGCTAGCATTCACAAACCTCCAAGTGTTTCTATCTTAAGGATCATAACTAAATGATTTCGCAAACGAGCTAGTAAGAATATATAAATTCACTACCGTTTTGCTCATCCTTGGGGCATAAAACGATCCGTAATAGGCGACATTTTCAGGCAGCAAAATCAGTTTCATCCATCGTTGAACAGCGCAATGCATCGATGAACCTTGCCAAACAGATTGCGTATTCTATCGGCTATACCGCAAAAGGTGCACCAATGCATATAAATAAATAAATAAATAAATAAATATAAATAAATACCCTGTAGGCAAGAAAGCAGACCGAACGAAATGAAGACAACAAAAACCGTTTTGTGTTCTTCGTATACAGTCTGCCCTAATCCCAAGCAGGCCAAAACTGGCATTGCGGGAGACCGCGTCGCTAGGGTTTCGCGGTCACGCCCACAGCCTGCTTCTCTGCCCTCTCTTCAATCCTTTTGCTCTCTCCGACAGCGCGCACATGCAGCGCAGGCCGCTAGCGCTGCGAGCGCGCAAACTTACGCCGACGGTTCAGCCTGATCCCGATTGGAGCAGACTGTATGATGGTTTCAGCAGAGCTATCAGGAAATCTTTGTTTAAAGTCGGTCTCGATGATTCCTCTCAGAGTTATAGATTTCCCTACTCATCTCAAAAAGCAACTAAGCCCAATCGAGCGCATGCCAGAAGCTGCACGACCGCCGATCTGAGATCTGGGAAACCAGGGGATTGCATGGAATTAGGAGTGGTATATTTCATAACCTGTGAAAAATGCGGTGATCGATACATAAGAGAGACCGGCAGACCCTTGCGCACGAGAATCAAAGGAGATTTTGATGTCTTAGAAATTTAAATGTCCACACCTTTGAGCGCACATCGAAAGTTATGTCACGAGAACCAGTACTTTCAAATCACTGTTACGATCTTGTCGCGCCAATCCAAATTTATAGCCCGCAAAACGTTGGAGGTCTTTTGGATAGCGTCTAAATCACCAAAAATCAACCGCAACGATGAAGGCATTACCATAAAGAGCGAACTGTTTTCCTAACAAACACTATGTGGATCCTAATACGGGATCTTCTATAGCCCAATACACATAGCGCAGCTGAGCGCAGTACTGGTTGTTCGGTCTCTATATCCCGATTTGACAAGTTTTGAAGTCAGGCTTCAACAGCTACTCTGCCACTTCATCACATAGCTAAAGAGATTTTATTGCCAAACAGGGCGACTGACTTCAAGCGGGCAGATCAAAGTCTCGATCTTTCAAAAAATCCTATTGACGGCGGAACGTTGGCTTATCGCATAATAAAGTCTTGCTAACCTTGGTCGGCAGCTCAAAAACTGTATTACTACTTTCACAATGCCAAGGTTTATCGACAATCGAGCACGAAACATCCTAGTGCAGTCATAGTGCACCGGTAATTTTTAGCACTTGAATAGTTTGCTTGACAGCTTTTGGAAATTTCTTGACTTGTTCTATCGCACGATCTTTGATTGCTTTTCCAACTTTTCCGAGAACGTCTTTGATTCCGCATTCACCGACAACCACAACAGAGAGAATCTGTAAGCATTAAAGTAATGTACAGTCAGTAAGTTCAAGGGGTAAAATCGCAAAGTAAGTCATGTCTTGCTTGGTCAACCTACCACTAAGATGGTAAGCAACAAGAAGATGAGTTTGAAAATTCTCATTCTTGTTGAACTGACGTGAAGGCTCTGGAAGAAAATATTCTGAGAGAGTAAGCGGTACATAGATCGGTTGATAAAACGACGATCAAACGAAACTTCTTTGAATAGGGTGAGCGACTATATGTCGCCGGAAATGGGAGGTCCCGCCGAATATCCGCGACAAATACACCTTTTGATGCATGCACAGGCTGAGTATCTGCTACATCGTCTGCGCGGGACCCTCCCACTTTCGGCGACATACAGTCCTTTTCCAAACAAATGATCTTCTGAGTGCAAGAGAAATTACGAGATTACAACAACCTTGATTTCTCTGCTATGTGTAATACCTAGGGATTTGTAAGAAACAATGTCGCTGATTATGTAAAAAATAAAACCTAAAAGTTGTGCATAATATGCACAACTCTGTCATCAACTATTTCGCTTGTTCGATCGTAAATTCGTCAGCTTTCTCTCTGAAACAAAAAATATCGGAATTGCCTTTTCAAAGAAGCACATGATCAAAGCTTGCGTTTGATCATGTGCTACCCAAAGGTTCTCGGTTGTAATATCTTCCCTTGACTCTGCAAAGCTATAGACCATTGATTGGCTTGTCTTTGAACCACAGTAGACCTTAGCAAATTCTGGTCAATTTTGCCTGGACATGATCATGCATGATAGGAGAATGACAAAATAAAAAGAGGATGATCAGATAGTATCAAAAGTTGGGGATTTTCTAATATTGTCATAATCTTTCAATCGAGGTTCCTCTATCAAAAGAGGGGGATTTTCTAATATTGTCATAATCTTTCAATCGAGGTTCCTCTATCAAAAGAGCTGCTTGGAAGCAGTCACAAAAGTTTTGTCTCGATCCAAACCTGCCTTCCTTATTAGCGATGCCTATGGAGAAAATTCTAGGCTTTCAAAGGTCCAAGTTTGGCAAACATTTAGCGCCACATCCTCAAGAACTACGTAATCCCCGTAATAAAAACGGTCGGTGACTCGCTCTATACTGTAAATCTAAGTTGAACCTCGCTCTACAGAATGATACCTTATAATAGGTAAAATATTCCTTGGGAAGAAAAATATTAACGATCAAACAATGTATACATACTTTTGGGACACCCTGTATGAGTTAAGAGAGATTTTTGACGCTTTCTCAAAACTAGCTGGACTATAGAGCTGCACATACTCATCGAAAATTACAGTCAAATAGGGTAGGGCCAGGATCAAGCACGGGTGTGGCACACCACAATTGGGGGATCGTACAAGGTGTCAAAGGCAAGAGGAGTCGTAATTGAGTTAATAAATCACGTTTCCTCTTGCCGACTCCTTGTATTCTCATAATTGGGTTAACTGAACGAAGCGCCAACGCTTCGTTCAGATAACCCAATTATGAAAATACAAACACATGAGGTATCCTGCCATCATACACCTACACCGTAACAAGATAAAGAGACTCTACCAAGCATTATGAGTACCATAATTGGCATGTCAGATAACCCAAGTTTGTGCGAATGCTGAAGTTTGCAAATGCTGAGCCACCTCAGTGAAGTGGTCACTTTTGAAAATGACTAACTTTATTTCAAAAATGAACTAATTACCTTTTTTGGCAATCAATACAAAGCACTACTCCTTGTTTACTTATCTCATGACCAGATATCCCGCTTCAAAAAATCTAAAAAGTGAGGATTTGAATCCGAAAATCCTCTTTTTCCCATTATTGATGACTGCACTTTCACCAACTGTTACTCACAAGGGAATGGTCAAAATTTGAAGTGGCCAATCCCAGCAAGCCTATACCTGAACACTCCATGGAGGGCTGATTACATATTCACTTTAGATATCTGCTTATCGGTCTTTTACACAAAATCATGGGCCCCATTCTGTCGTGGGCTGCGGCGCGATATAAAATACTTGTCGCCCACCAGACGAAGCTAAAAGTCAAGCTGGGCACAAATCGCAATGGTAAGTGTGCAGAGTCATAGGGTAAGCCCCGGGTTTTGTTTGCAGGTTCGGTTCCTTTTAGTTGATACTCTTTGCAACCCGTTCCCGATATCTGTATTGTTAGCGCGAAGTCCCCAACGCGAGTTATAAAGGTAATATGACATCTAAAAACGTGAAAAACTCATATTTTTTATTACTCAGACTCTCTTGAGAATTGAGGGTGATCATGGTGAAAGCAAGAATAAAAATTTTGGTGAATAGGAATGCAAGAACAAAGAAACAAAAAACAGAAACAGAAGCAAGCAGCAAGAAAGAGGAAGCTGAAAATGCACTCTGCGCTTGCACTCTCAAAATGAAAAAAAAGAAGTTTTTTCCTTAGATGTTGAATTATGTTTGTTTCCGCGTCAGGGACTTCGCGCTAATACTATAAATATTGGCAATGGGTTGCAAAACAATAGCAAGCAAAAGGAATCGAATTTGCAAACAAAACCCGCAGCTTTTATCCTATGTCTGCACAACTACCACTGCGCTTTGCGTCCAGCTTGACTTCTAGCTTCTTCTAGCTGGGTGAAGAATTATTATTATCCATGACGCGCGGCTGCCGATGACGAAATCGGGTCATAATTTCGTGTAAAAAGCCGATAAGCAGATACCGAGGGCGGATATATAACAAGCCCTCCATGGAGTGACCAACGATGTAGGGCTTGCTGGGATTGGCCACTTCAAGTTTTGACCATTCCCTTGTGAGTGCTATTTGGTGAAATTAAAGCCACCAACAACGAAAAATGGGGAAAACAAATTTTTATTGGCCTCTAATACCACAATTTGAAGGGTTTTTAAAGCGGGATATCTGAAATAGGCAAAGAAGGTCTAATATTTTGTTTTGAGTGCCAAAAGAGGTGGTATGTTCACCTTTGCAACAAAGTTGATCATTTTCGACAATGACCATTTCACCCATGGCTCAGTATCTGTAAACTTCAGAACTCCACAAGGGTTATTGGGCATGCTAATTATGGATACATTACTCGTTATGTTTGGTAGGGCCTTCGAGTTATGCCTATCTTAGCGTGCAGTAGTTCTGAAGGCCCTTATGAGACGATAAATAGGGGTGGGTCGTTTCTAGCGATCGAGTGCCACAAGTCTTAACTTGATCTGGGTAGCGCAATAAGTCTTTGCAAGTAATACCCCGCCAATTCTTTTAATGTGAAAGCAGGTTGGTATTGCACACTGATGCTGTAATTTAATAGTGGAAAGCCTTTTGAGACTAGGTCGTGTCTGATGTAAAGAAATTATACAGGATAACGAGAAGCGGAAACACCAAAACGCGATTGACAAACGAGAGTCTCGCAAGCAATGTGGTGGTTAGAAATTGGTGGAGTTTGCTGTTGTAGTAGCACGAAGTAGCTTTGATGGGACTTGGCAGGACAGTTGCAGGAAACTAGATAGCGTTTCGGAGGCAAGATCATATATGAAGACCAGCAATGTAAGGTGAGCAGATAATCATGGCGGTGCTACTTTAAACGGTGATAATTCCAAAACTGCATACAGTATGCAGGAATCAGATTTGTTTTTTGATTCGTTCAGTCCCTTTTGATACAATTTCCAGTTCTATGAGGGTTAAGGTATAGCTACCCTATTGAGCTGTCAAAGCCCTTATTCAGCTTTGGATTCGGCTCACTTTACGTGAAAAAAGCATAAGAACACCTTTAGGACGTTTGCAAGCGTGTGCTAAACACGTTGACGCTAATCTGGGGCGGTATTTACCGATCTCCAACTCGCTTTCGGGCCTTGACGAGCCTGGACAGGCGAGAGCGAATCCTCTGATTCACCAAACTTCAGAATGTGGTACGATCTGGCAAATTTGGCCATGTCGGGCACGGCAGTAGGGCAGCAGAGCCCAATCTCGACAGGTAGGGCACCGCTGCTTAACTGCCGTGCCCGGTATGGTAAAACTTGCCAGATCAGACCATATTCGCCAATATACAGAAGCCCGGATCACCAGCTTGGCTTCGTGTAGCGGGCGCCAGTGCCGCGTGGGCTGTTGCCTGTACAGGATTTTCCCTCCTATGTAGGGGATTAATAGATATCGCCTTTAGTGTCGTCGCCTCCCCGGTGTACGCTGGGCGGAGCGTTTGCAAACATCCAAACGCGTGACTCAGCAAAACTCTACTGCGAAGCATGGTTCTTGGTCTCTACTCAGACAGCGGATAGGACCCCTCCGCCGGAGAAATGGCAGGGTCGCGGCGTTTCCCCAGCGGTGGGTCTCCCATTTGTCCGGCGGAGCCCTCCCATTTGTCCGGCGGAGCCCTCCCATTTCTCCGGCGGATACCTCCCATTTTCTGCTCCGGATACCTCCCATTTTCTGCTCCGGATACCTCCCATTTTCTGCTCCGGAGCCCCCCGATTTTGTGCGCCGTAGCCCCCCGATTTTGTGCTCCGCAAGTCTGCCGCGGCATACTGTAATTAGCCCTAATTAAGCTCCAAACCCCATGTGGGTTTGGAGCTTAATTAGGGCTAATTACAGTATGTTGCGGCAAACATCGTCTTGTCTCTAAACTTTGTCGACTTTGTCTCTAAACCCCACCCAAATCAGCCGAATACGACCCCCCCCCCCCGGGTAAGAGTTCAGCGCGACCCTCAACCCCGTCTTTACCCCATCCCTCTCACCCCTAGCGTTTGTGGATAGAAGATAGAAGAAAGAACGAAGAGATAAGACATTTATTTCAAATTTTTCAAACTTCTTCGAAAAATCATTTTATATCGTTAATCATTTCACACCCACTGGTGTAACGAAGAATGAACCTTTCCAACCAAACAACGGTTTGTGGAACAGCTAAATTGCAGTCGCAGTTGGCCCATACCATCGGCGACTCTTAAAAGCCTTAAAAGCCTCTTAAGCCTGATAAACACCATTAAATTTTTCTGAGATATGTGAAAGACATCTTACCATTACGTAGTAATCTCCGAGGTTGATCTCTTGGGTTTTGCCAACAGGTGACAAAGCAGTCAGAAGCGCCTTGTTCTGATCGGTTACTCCTTTAGCGGCGAGATAAAAATTGGTCATAGCCTAAAAGAGCTACCAGTATATACTGAAGTTATTAGAAAGCTGCTTGTATTACACACTTTCAAGGGTTTTTCTATTCCAGAGTATGCAATGGCACTGTAAAATGTCATGACAGGGCGAAGTTCATTAGGGATACTGCTTGCAGATAAAGTGCAAAGGTTCTAAATGCACAAGTCCATTGCGTGACATAATGGAAAAACATGAATTGAATCAGTGGTATTTGAAAATTATAGCTTGCAAAGACACCTACCATCAAAACTGCATACTGCTCATGCAATGCTAAAGATCTGGCCAAGAAAACCTGCGCGGAATATGGTGATAGAAATAGTAATCCAGCCTGGACATAATCTGTTTGACAAAACAAGAACGACACTGCATTGAATTATACCTAGAGTATTTTGTCCAGAAAAACGTTGAATTCCGGGGATGGGTCAGCTTCTTCAAAGCGTCCTATGTGCGCTACCTTACTCAGCCAATCCACGCCCTCTCCTTTGAGAACCAACTACATAGAGACACCTGCACATTATCCCTAGAAAGATTTCGAGACACTAAATTTCGCATATCTGGGACACGCATGCGTCTATTCAGGCCCACTTTGCCAATTTCAGAGACAGCTGATCGTCAAACAATCTATAATTATTGATGATATTGCTGAGTTTCCTTTCGAGATCAGAAAACTCAAACATCGGATAGTCGTAACGCCCTGAAATCTTATTGAAATACCACAAACTTGAGAAAACTGTTTTTACCCACACTGTCTTCAGAGTAGAGCTGAATTAATGCTAGCAAGCTCCGCGCAATATCAAGACGCTGTTTCACCACGTGCCGTAGTCGTGCTGCTATGAGTCCGCAAGTAAAGGATCCACCAAATAAAGTGTCATCGGGAGTCGGCTCTACTGTACTATCATTCATTCAAACCAAGGATAAGTAGAAATGCTATAAACCAATGATACCTGGGGGAGATTGAGATGCTTGGATGGCTTCCAAGAACAAACTTATGATTTGAGACCATTTCTGGACCACCTAAGTTTAGAAATCCGTAATCACTAATATCCGATAAACGCATGTCAAATCTCACAATCTGTGATCGCATGAAAGTAGAATCATGGGCGGGTCCGTCCGACATCACATACTCAGCTAGCCCAAGCTCGTCTTCCTCCTGAATTCTGAGGATAAATGGCGGATTGAAACGCCCAGTAAACAAAAGTCCTCTTCCCCTGATATGAGGCTAGCATCATGAAAAAAGAAAAGTAAAAACAAGGATTCACCAACAAAATCAAACAATTTGACTAAACAGATATCAAACCTTAGCCGCAGCTCTCTCCAATGCGATAGAAACCATTTTATCCATGCCTTCAGGTGGTTGGTGCCTCACGGAACACAACTTCTTCTGCTTTATCGTCTGGGAAAGAAACGCAGTGAATTAAACGTTGTTGGAAAGCAAGCTCAGTCCTTTCTTGACATTACTCACATTTATTGGCAGGTAAGGTGACAACAACCAGTTGTCCTTCAGCCATGCAATAGGCGATCTAAATGATAGACTGCAAAATTTACTGCGTACTTTAGATGAGGATAAACACACCTTGGTAAACTGCGGCTCGTGCACAGGGACTTTCAATCCGAGTGTCACGGTCGACGTGGTTCACCCCCTCGAGAGCCGCGTCGCATGGGTCTCTCACGTGGCACAAGGCCGCATCCGCTAAGGCCTTCGCGTTACCGGGTGCGGTCGTGTACTACGTGAGAGACCCATGCGACGCGGCTCTCGAGGGGGTGAACCACGTCGACCGTGACACTCAGATTGAAAACCCCTGTATAACAGATGCGCGAAACGCCGCAAGCATTGCCGCAAGCATACGCATGAGCCAGGGCTCGGCACGAGCTGGCACCAGGGAAATTTCAAAACGAAGTGCCGTTTGATATTGAAAATTTCGTACGAAGTCCCTTTTGACCTGTTTTGAAAACCCGTCATCATTTTTATATTATGTAAAAAATGTGGTAGTGTTTTCATGCATTTCTGATTTCATGAAAGAACTTTTCACAGCTTTCTGAGCTTATTAAGTGGTCGAATCACATCTTGAGAAGCAGAAAACGCCAATTTTTTTTTCGACTGCGGAGCGGACCGATTGGTTTTCAAATTGCTATAAAACGCTGAAAAGAGAACATTATGAAACTGTTTCTTCTCCGTATGTAACCTTTTACAGTGTAGATACATTTTATGTAAAAAAGTATGAAAACTTATGTGAGCAAAGTCACCCCAGCTGGCACGGTGCCAGCTAATTCAGAAAAAAGTTCGGCACAGCTTTCATTCACATAAGTTTTCATAAATTTTTGGCCCGTAGTTCCGGTCCACCAACGCGCATGCACACACCAAATTTGGTGTCATACTATTGCGTTTTGGCTGAAAACAACGCCTTTGTTTGTTGATGGACAGCGTGCCAATGGCATGCCGGCGGCATTTTTGCGGTTCTCCGCTCGGCCTCTGTAGAAACGATTTCCCCTTTGCTTTCCGCCCTAAAAACGATATCCGGCTTGACCCGGTGCCAGCTGTGCTGAGCCCTGGCATGAGCTCCGTGCCCAACCAATCAATAACTCGTGATAAAGTGTAAATTGAACATACCAAAGAATAAAACGATCAGGGAAGTGACTGTTCGCGGGAAACGTGCAAACGCCTGAAGATGGCTCAACATTTGCATTGATGGAATGCAAAGCGGCATCTGAAGACAATCAAAAAATCAAAACTCCCGAGACCTCGAGAAAAGAAGTAGAGCTGTAGCTTACTAGTATTCACTACGAATGTCCGCACTGGTTTTGGCGCAAAACTCTCGGTGAAAACAACCTCTGTATCGTAAATGGGATCCATACCAGTAAATACAGATATCTTGAGTTGGTTTGGTTACGTCTAAACATAGTGTATACTAAACTGAAGTCAAAATCAACAACAACAACAGAAAGGGTAGAAGTGCTAAAGCTGAAGGTAAAAAAGCTGCATTACGAAAATTTTGAAAGCAATGCTGCACAATGCAATGCATGCTCTTCACAGTTCATTACCTCTGCCCTGAAAACAAAATATGGTATGTAAAAAACAGTCATATTGATAATTCGCGGAAAACCGCATGATAATCCCACACAGACACGCGAGATGCGAACCACGCAAACGGCAAAGTGATTCATCGGTGGAGATAGCGATAAACGAATTATTTAGACGATACTTTCATCACAACAACACTAGATAGTTGCGCAACTAACCTCATTGTTTCGAAAATCCAGAATTAATCACAAAAACCACTCCATCAATAGTCTACGATGTCTCAGCAAGTCGGAAAGAGCCAAACACTGAAGGTGATTGAGTGCAACCGCACGAAAATTTGAAACATAAACCTGAAAACGAGGAACTTACAGCAACATAAACGCCAACGCGACGAAGAGCAACGCGGAAAAGAAAAAAAAACGGTAAAGAAACGCGCAAAAACAACAAAATCAAAGAAACGGCGACTAAAATATGGACAAAGAGCGTAAACAGAGGACTCATCACCGTGGAGTTAGACGTTTGCTTGCTACGCGCCAAATCGATACGCAGCCTGCTCCGGATACCTCCCATTTTCTGCTCCGAATACCTCCCATTTTCTGCTCCGGATACCTCCCATTTTCTGCTCCGGATACCTCCCATTTTCTGCTCCGGATACCTCCCATTTTCTGCTCCGGAGGCCTCTCATTTCTGCTCCGGACCCCTCCCATTTTCTCCGGCGCGGCTCTTCCAAATTTGGCGGACACGCGCCGCGCAAACTCCGGCGCGGAGTCCGCCAAATCTGGCAGAGTCGCGCCGGAGAAATGGCGGACCTTTGCAGCAGGGCCGGAGAAGCCTCCCATTTGCCTGCCAGTGATGTCACCGCGATGGACCGCCCATTTGCCCTTCTCTCATTGGTCAACTGGGTCCGGCGCGACTCTGGCAGTTTCGGAGGGTCCGGCGGAGGGGTCCCGTCGATTGCCTGAGTAAACTGCCACATATCCTGTGTGCCCCAGCAAAGTTCCCATGTGAACCAGCGTGCGTACGTGGTGCGACGCTCTTTCGCTCTTTTTGACACATTTGTCCTGAGATTTCAACGGAACTGCTCGAGGTTAACGCGTTCGAAAGAGCGAAAAGCAGCGAGATGACGTGGTACCTATGAGAATCTTGCTGGGGAACAAATGCTATATATTAGGGCGAGTCAAAAGTAATGAGAACTTCGTATATTCTCTTGAATCTTTTGTCAAATTAGGTAGAATGTAAATAGGCGAATGCTCTAAATGGTTTCCGACACGGTTTTTCCTTCTCTTTACAGCAGTCATATTCCGACCAAATCACTCCGTAGTTGATGAAATATTTGCAGAAATTTTGGACCCAAAGCGTTGGCCGATTTCTATGGCTTTTTAGACGTGGCAAAAAATTCTAGATATAGTAATTTTAGAAGGTAAGCCCTTGAATACTTTGCAGAAGCAAGGTTTGACAATAAACTGTTTCTGAAGGCTTCTGAATGCGAAAGATTTTAAAGTATGATGCATTTTTGTTTTAAGCGATTTTTTGAAATTTTGAGTTTTTTGGGAAAATGATTTTAGAAAGCCTCAAAATTCTTTTGAAAGCCTAAGAGGTGGTTTGCATTAAGCAGGATTTGCTGTCTATTTAGATAATCGAATTAGTCTGAACCCCTCAAACTAAAAGTTCTTAGGATTAGCAAAACTCACTCAAAGGAAAAATGACAGGTTCAAAAATTGGAAAATTTTCTCGACAAGTAAGAAGTCAACTGGGACGCTGGCTGCTGAAAAGAGAAAGAAAAGCTACGTATTAAGTTGTCCCAAAAGTTTTGTCCGTTTTTTCAACCTATCATAAGAACGCGTGCAGCTAAGATAGGGAAACGCTCTAAGCACTATCCGACGCATCTTTTCCTTCTCTTTTTAACTGTCATAATTTCATGCCGATTAATCTTTTGTTCACTGAGATAAACGCCGAAATTTCGGACGCATGGTTTTTACTATGTTCAAGTTTGGCGATTTTTCACAATCTTTATTTTCGACTTTTTTCGAAAAGCTTTGGCAACAGTTAGATAGAGCAAACAAAGGGCAATATAATGCAATTTTGCGACATCTATAGCCAGCCTTGCAAATTTTTTAGAATTATTTTTCTGATGCTATCAAATTCCACTTTTGGAGATGCCAAAAGGCAGAGATCATGAAACGGCGCACAACTAAGGTGTTATTCGATGCAGCTTTTCCTCCTCTTTTCAGTGAGTGTATTTTCTTTCCAATTCGCAGGGTCCTTGTCGATAAAAATTTCATAATTCTTGAATTTGACCCCACCCCAGCGTGTACGCGTAAAATGCAAAATCTTATATTTCGAAGTGGTAAACGCTTCGAAATATAAGATTTGCTTCGTAAAAATAGTGAATGATCGTAATCGGCTCTTGAAAGCTTCAAAATCCGATGAATTGTTAGTGTTCGAGGCGTTTCTGTATTTTAGAACTTCGCAAAAGTGAAGAGTTTTGAAAAAATTATCTTCAAAAATATTGAAAAGCCAGCTAGATATGCCAAATAATTGCATTGCATTGCCCTTTGCTTACTCTATTTGAGAGCTATCAAAGGTTTTCCAAAAGATGAAAATGAAGATTGTGAAAAATTGTCAAACTTGGACATAGTAAAAACCATGGGTTCGAAATTTCGGCGTTTATCTCAGTGAGCAAAAGAGTAATCTGCACAAAATTATGAAATTCATAAAGAGGAGGAAAAGATGCGTCGGGTAGTGCTTAGAGCGTTTCCCTATCTTTGTTCCACCTATTTTTATGACAGGTTGAAAAAACGGACAAAATTTTCGGGACAACCTAATATATTACTATTTAGGGTACTCTTCTATCACTATTCTACACGTTTTGCTAAAAGTTTGAAAGGATAGCGAAAAGTTCTCATTGCTTTTGACTCAATCTAGTATGCTGTTGTTTTACGTGGAAGAGTTGGCGGCGTGAGATTACAAAAAACAACTTGCAGTAGAGGGTGAACAAGTTCAATAACGTGTCCAGATGTCTGCATCCGCTAAAGTACACCGGGTAGGAAACGATAACAAGATTGACTGAAGTTGCTGTGAAAGTGCAGAAATGAACAAAACTCTTTAATTGATTCAGTTTTCATGAGCATTTGACATTTTTCAGCTGAATGACTACCCGTGTATTGCAGTAGCCGAACATTTTCAAGGTGCGTATACCTCTGGTAAATCTATACCACTGAATTTGTTCCACACGTATCATACTTACGTCTGGGTTTCTTCAATTAACGAAAAATACCGTGAGTTGCAGAGACCACTTGAAGTGAGGTGTACTTGCCAAGCGTAGTACGACATCTCGTAATCGATAATCTCAAGTCCGATATTCGTATGAAACGCTTCCTTGAAAATATTAGGTTGACCCGAAAATGTGTTAACACCATTCTGAAAAATTTATAGCTTCTCGCATTCCGAAGCGTTTGCTTTCCTGAAATTTCGAACTTGTCTGAAAAAGATAATCATGCGCTTTACAAAAGCATTTGAGGTACTTTCTTACTCGCAAACACAGCAGCGATAGAAGTTTACGAATAGAATCTGTAGGTTTGTCAAAAATGTGAACCACGGCCCGGACGAAGATGGCAAGTAGTCCTCTGTAAAGCATTACGCCTTTGCCGCTTTATTTTCGCAACTTGCCCTTAATCGCACAAGTGCGTTTTTCTTGAAAGTCGGGACCCGTTTGTTCCTTCGGTCTAGCAAAGAGGAGAGCAGAAGTCGAAGAGGAAGTCGCTCCAATGAGCACTCAAGTGTAAAATTCTTGCATTACATGTAAGAACTTTGTACTCCAATCTGCAAGCTTTCAAAGTATTTACGTCAACTCTGCATGAGGCGAAGCTAAAGTTCACACGTGAGTGCCTCTGTGTTGGCCAGGAAGCAAAGCGGTAGGATTGTGAAAAGAGAGTAATTCATTATTAACTTTGGAATTTATATTTATAATATTAGGTCGTTTCAAAAGTAATTTCGCTTTTTTTCAAACGTACACCACATATGACGGAACAAAGGTTTCTAAGAGATCTTGGAGGCATTCGATCCAGAATTTCATTCTCTTTCTAATGGTTATGAAATTGTTGCAAAATATATAATGAGCTTTCAGAAAATAATTAAAATCTGCGACCCATGCTTTTTGAGATGGTCAAGTTCCACAATTTTTCAAAACATTCGTGTCAATCCTCAGAAGGAGTTCAAGTAACGATTCGATAGTGCAAACCTTATAGAATGCAGCACCTCTTTTTTCTCTTTTTTCTATCTCGCCGTGATTTTTTAAAAGATTTGTTAACAAAACCATCGAATTTTGGCAGGCCTACGTCAGCCCAATCGCATCAAACAAAGGTAATTATTCGGAATTTGAAACTTCCAAGATGGTATATGACTTAATATTGATTTTACAATGAAAGTGAGAGCTTACGGATTCAAAATATCAAATTTCGAGTTTTTCTGGTACAGCCTGGGGCTCGCTAAAAAAATGAGTTATGATGATTTCTCCCCGGTAATCAAACAAATCAGAAACAAAAAAACCTGTTAGAAAGAGGAGTAAATACTGCATCGAATAGTGTGCGAGCTGCTCTTCTTTTGATGTTCTGCAAGAATTTAGCTGCCCAAGTATGGAAATAGGTAACATCAGTTAAAATTCTGTTAAAAATGTATGACAAGCTATGGAAAGGAGAAAAAGTAGTACTGTATTTTATAAGGTTTACTCTATCGAATCGCTTCTTGAACTCCTTCTGACGTTCGATATGAAAGTTTCAAAAAAATGTGAAACTGACCATCTCAAAAAGCATGGGCCGCAGATTTTGGATATT